TGTTGTAAGGCAACTTCATCAAGCCAACTGAATACTCTCCTTTTTCCACCATTTTGAAGGATGATATTTTGAGTTGTTATTTCAAGCCTTACATTCCGATTCATAGTTACAATCCCAAGTTTTCCAAAATATGTATTCTGTGGTCTTACATTGTTGATGCTCTTTTTATCGGCAATAAGCTGTCCATTGACGGTCATACCTAAAGTCCAGAAGTGATATTAAGGGATGGCTTATGTGTAAGTAATATATTTTAAAAATATGTTTTTTCCTGGTTTCCAGAAGGCAGAACACTTTCCATACTATATATTTTTGTTAAACTTGTATTGATTAAATTTAATTAAAATTTATTTATTTGATTTCTATAGCTACTCAGCTCAGACAGTGATTCAGGGCGGCTTACAATTCAAAAACATACATTGCAATTGAAATCTTAAACCTTTTAAAATAATAAAAACAGTAAAAACCATTAAAACTATAAACAACATTAAAACATTTAATTTGAAGTACATGCAAAAGCGAGATATCTGGTTTATTAACAATATAGCTAGGAGGCAGGGGCCTTGGTGCATATAGTGCCCCAGGCATGGGAGAATAGCCAGGTCTTTAAAGCTTTGTGGAAGGCTAACAGAATTGGGACCATGGTAATCTCCAAAGGGAAGATATTCAATAGCGTAGGGGATATTGCAGAAAAAGCTCATATTCTAGTCCAACGGTCCCCAAACTTTGTGACTGGTGGCCCGGCTGGTGGGGAGAGGGGTTCTGGGCCAGTTAGATAGTGGACCGGTGCACCTGTATGCAGCTCTTGCGTGGATGTGGGCTGGCACGGAAGTGTTTGAGTGCCTACCATCCCGCTTCTCGCAGTCGTTATGCTGCGTGCACATGCACATGTTCTGACCAGTCATTCCAGCGGCCCAATTCCAAATAGACCTGGTAGTGGGCAGGGGGCCTGGAGTTGGGGGAAGTTCCTACATTTTTTTGCTGACAAACTCTACAGCATGCATATCCTGTTTGATCCACTTGGATGGATAGAAACTATGGAAGGCGATCCCTCAGGGTAATTGAATTGTTTAGTTCTTTCCCTCCTAATCCTAATGAATAATATCCCTTATTATAAGATTGTGTTTGCACTGAAAAGCAAACGATTGATCCCATCTTCCACCCTAATTCCTCTTGAAATATTTAATGTAATGAATTATGCTTCTTAGAATAATTTTAATTTTCTCAATCTCCTTTAATTGGAGTTAATTATATTTTTATTTTTTCAGAGAATAACAGATTGGATTATATATAGGCAAACTCCCAGCAACTGGTAAGATCCCACAGAGTTGGTCTCCTCAGGGTCCCATCAGCTAAACAATGCCAGCTGGCAGGCCCGCGGGGGAGGGCCTTCTCTGTGGCTGCCCCAGCTCTCTGAAACCAGTTACCTCCTGAGGTCCGGACCATCCCCACCCTATTGGCCTTCTGAAAAGCAGTGAAGACCTGGCTCTTCCGGCAGGTCTGGGACCGTTGATCTTGCTGCTGCAATTTGGCGAGATCAGGCCATGAATGGTGTGAATGGGTTTTAATTGTTTTTAATGGTTTAACTTTTAATGTTTTATATATGGTTTTTAAATGCATTGTAAGCCGCCTTGAGTCTTCGGAGAAAGGCGGCATACAAGTTGAACAAATAAACAAATAAATAAATAAAGTAGTTTCTCCAAAGGGCAATGACCATTTATTGGTAATTCCAGCATCTAGAAGTCATCTAAGCCTTGGTGGCACAGCAGACTAAAGTGCTGTTAAGTAACACCAGCTGCCTGCAATTACTGCAAGTTCAAATTTCACCAGGCTCAAGGTTGACTCAGCCTTCCATCCTTTTGAAGTAGGTAAAATGAGGACCCGGTTTGTGGGGGCAATAAGCTGACTTTGTATAAAAAAGAACACCGCTGGGGGAGGTGAAAGCCCTACTAAGCAGGAATATACAAAAGTATGAAGGCTATTGCTTAACGCACTGTAAGTCGCCCTGAGTCTCTGGAGAAGGGCGGCATATAAATCGAACCAATAAATAAATAAATAAATAAATAAATAAATAAATAAATAAATAAATAAATAAATAAATATGTTCTAGTGCATGTAGCTCTGAAACATATATCACATTCGGAAGCCTTTTCAATAAAAAATTCCACTTCTACTGCATTTGGATATATTTTATCAGCCCTGGAGGCCATCTTTTTCTTGGGATCTTCATGGCTGCCACATTTAGTGCTGTGGGAAACCGGGAGGGGGGATTGCATGGAGTTGCAGGGATATCTAGCCTAAATAAAATTCCTTTCTCAGACAGTCAAGGACATTCGGCCTGCACCTGGAGTGGCATGACTGGGAGGCATCTCCAGTTGGGACGGTGCATTGATTGGATCATGTGATGGACATGTGGGTGCAGGGGAAGGGACTTGTACTTTCTTTTGGGTGAGGAAAACCTGGAAGCTTTCAGATTCAGGTTTTCCCAGATGTGCCAATATGACATCTCTAATAAAATGGAACTTTGAGGAACTTCTAGCCTCGGAGTCTTTTTTTGTTGGGGATGTTACTTAGAACCCTGACTTGTTTCATGATTTAAAATCACATCTTTTCTGATAATCTGCTATTGTGATAATCTCTTGCAAACTGTTACCTAAGAATCATCATGGCTTCCTTGAAGTCAGCTCACCTTTTGACATCTATTACAATACTTTCAAGGTGTTGATATCTAGAGTATAGAAGTTGGCACGAATAAATAGCCATGCTGAACTAACAAAATGGTATATACACTCAGAACTAAAAGATATAATCTGTCTTTAGATATATTGATGGTGAGTGGATTTTAGGATATAGCAGAAGCTTTGATAAGCTTAGGAAACCCTGAACACATTGTCCACATGTTAGAAACATTTGTGAATTTTTTAGATATACTAGCATGATATGGAATCAATATATAAGTGGTTATAACAGAATGGAACAGTATAATGGGTGAACATTTGGAGTAGCATACCTATGCCATCTCTTATATAATTATATAGACTTGATGGCTCAATTTTCCAATAATAACCTAGCCAAAGCATGATAATAGTTCCTCGTGGATTGAAAAGGGGGGGATACTTATATTGTATCGGGATACTGTAGTGATACTTCTATTATCTACCTGTGCTGCTATAGCAGACTTCAGAATATGGGATTGTAACAGTGGTGAAATCTAAAATTTGTTACTACCAGTTCTGTGGGCGTGGCTTGGTGGGGGGGGGTAATGTGACTGGGTGGGCGTGGCCAATTTTCTTTTTTTTTTTACTTTTAAAACCATTTTTTCTACAACCTCTTCGGCGAAGAGATTGTAAAAAAATGTTTTCAAAAGGCTCTGACGATCCCAGATGAGTTGCTTGATCGGCAAAGGGTTTTTAAAAAACCCTCTGATGATCAGGCAACTCAGCTGGGATCATCAGAGCTTGGATCATCAGAGGCATTTAAAAGAAAAAAACTTTTTTTCTTTTAAATGGCTCTGCCAATCCCAGCTGAGTTGCCTGATTGGCAGAGAGTTTTTAAAAAACCCTCTGACGATCAGGCAACTCAGCTTGGATCGTCAAAGCCATTTAAAAGAAAAAAAGCATCTGATGATCGCGTGGCTCAGCTGGGCATGGGGGGGGGCAGGGATTTTTGCTACCGGTTCTCCGAACTACCCGCCTCCATCGCTACCGGATCAGGCGATCTGGTCCGAACCGGGAGCATTTCACCCCTGGATTGTAAGCAACTAATCTAATGATATGGGAACACCAGTATATACACCTCCTGTGTAGCAAGCCTTCTGGATTCATAACACTTAAACAGGTCTTGTGAAGAGAGCAGTAGAAGCTTCCTTAGTATTAGTCAAATATGAAAGACAATGGCAGCTAAAGTTCACTATGCAGTATGGAAATGGGACATTTGGTTATGTCAGAAGAAGCAAATAAATCAAGATCAGAAAAAGGCCCTAATTCCACTTAAATAATCTGAAAAGTCAGCCTGGGTATTATAAAGAAGAGGATAGAATCTAAGAGAAAGCCTCAAATGTACAAGTTATCTGTGTATTCTTTATCCATAGGAAACAAAAATAAAATGGAATTAGATAGACAATGAACTGATCGAGCAGTGCAATATCTTTCTTACTTACAATCACAGTTTCAGAAAAGAAAGGCTCACCTGTAACTGGATCTCTTATCAAATTTAACCCCACCCCTGGCTCCTCATTAATGTTGAAACAAAGGGCATCTTCTTTCTGGGGTACAGCTATAATAAAGTGTGGGTCTCCATCAACTGCAAAGAAGAAATTACACTAAAATCACTTCCTTTTAAAAGGGCTTGACCCAAAGTCTTCTCTAATCACATAGTTTATACATAAAATCACTCCCTTCCCCTTCCTCCATCAATTCATGTCATGCAGTTATTTAGCAAAGCAACATCATAAAGATTTTATTTCCTTTAATTCTTCCAGAGATAATTTTCATCTGATAGGGATGATCGATTTCAGATTGTGATTCTTTCATTTCAAGGTGGGCTTCATGCTACCACAGGACAAAAACTATAAGGCTTTTGAGAAGGAAGGGATCTGGTGAGATTAGCAGATAGGTTTAGTTGAACCTTTTAGTTTAGGTGTCCAAACTTGGCCACTTTTAGACCCGTGGACTTCAACTCCCAGAATCCCCCGGCCAGCCATAACGTCCACAGGTATTAAACATGCCAAGGTTGGACATCCCTGCTCTAGTGCATGTTTCTTAATAGTAGCAACAAGCTGTGGAACTCTGGGAGTTGAAGTCCACACATCTTAATGATGCCAAGATTGAGAAATCCTGCTCTAGCAAGTGATTGCTTATGAATCTCTTTTCTAATGTTTTTTTAATTGTGTTTTCAAAATATTTAAAATTTTTAAAAATGACAAAAAAACAAACAAACAAGATATTCTTGACTAATTCAACTGTGAATATTTGGAATAGTCCCTCAAAACCACTAAAAGCCAGCTAGACTAATGTCCTTATGACGATATCTGTACCTTCTATCAGTTTGTCAGCAATTGCTTCCTTTTCTTCATTGCCTTCTGGCTTTGTGACAACCATGGATGTTAATGGAGTCACAAATTTATATTTCAGAGATAACTCCAGGGCTTTAGCAGTAATATTTTCCTTTTCATCTCCCTGCGCTATAGCACTAAAAGCAAGGACATTAGAGAAGCATTTAGAAACTGTTTAACCATGATAATATTAATTATTCAGTATTCTTCCACCCTGTAATATAAAAATGTAAACTACTCTAAATAATAAAATAAATAGGGTATGAGCCTCATGAACACTTTAGAAACAAAAGACTTGTCTCCTGCAAGGGGAAGGAAATGACTGGGACTTAAAACAAAACTTATCAAACTCTAATGTGAAGTTAGAAGAGCTGCAATAATTATCTTGCATTAGCTGAAAAAAATTAACTTGGGTCAAAAGATCAGAGGAATTACAGGCCAAAAATGATGAATAGCTACTAGCCCATTCCAGGCATTATTGAATGAAACTAAATTTCATACCTCTTTTGACTGGATTTTACATTTATTTTTAAAACAGAAGCTATTAACCCTAACCTTAAAGTATAATCTTTCTCAGGAAAGTGATGGAAAGTGATTGATTATACCAGTCTTCATGGACTTCTCTGGAGTAAACACAAATCTGAAAAAGTTCTAAATTACCATGCTTCTAAAAGTTGTTGAATGGTGAGATAAGCCCAGAATCTCTCAATATATTCTCCAAATATGTATTGTTGCTCTTCGAAAGCTTTGGTTGTTTCCTCAACCTCAGCTTGTTCAGTATAAGTCACTGATGAAGTGTGCTGCAACTCAGAAAAACCTGTTCCTCTGAATAACATTGGTTAGACGGAAAAGGTGCCATCAGTTCCCTTCTATTTTCTTTTATTGAGTGGATGATGCTTTATTTGTCACCCAGGCTCAACATGACCACATAACTTTCAGCCATGTAAACTAGCGATAATATTGTTGTCTCACTGCCTGAACGGCTTTGTTTCAGTTTTATGACAGTTGAAACTGATGTTTAAATGTGGATGGATGGATTGGATACAGCTTGGCAATTTAAATTCAGTTTGGCTAAGTACTAAGTGAAATAATTAGCAAATATACCAGTAATATTGGTGCTTTCCTGTCTCTAGTTCTAGAATATCAATAAAGGCAGGTAAACTAGCTAATGACCTTTCTTGAAGCATTCTTGAAATCAAAATATTGAAAATGAGAGGTTGATTTTTTTTAGCCACAGTGCTTTTCTGTTATCTGAATCTAGATCACCCTTCCCTTGGAAAAGTACATTGGAAAACAGAACTCTCTTTGAAAGTCTTAATTCTTAAAAAATCTTTCCCTCTTTTGACATCTATCATTTTGTTGAGATGTGGAAAAAAGGTACTCCATGAAGAGGAGGATTGATTATGTGAGTTTAGCTGTAGCAATAACATTAAACATGTGCAGTACAAAAATGAGTTCTATTTCACTGTATATGTTAATAAAACAGGTTTCAAGTCTGATGAGTTTTAATTCTTTTAATCACAGAAAAATGTGTAATTCTTTTCATTCACAACTTTTACTAACACAAAGCCTTTCTGGACATCTTTTCCTGTTTTGCAAAACCATCAATTGCTAGACAATCCCTTTTTAAAATCAAAAAGTCTACTTTCCTCCATCATATACATTCCCCGATTTAGGCTCTCATGAGGTAAATTTGTTTCTTCACTCTGTGTTTCATGGTGTGTAAGCATATTCTTAGTTGATTTTTGGCCACAGTGTGGGAGGGACATATATGCTATTGTATCTTGGCTATCTTTGGATGCTATACACCTCTGTTTTAGGATGGGATGAAATACCATTTCTTTCACATAACTGAAAAGAGTAATCAGCAATCCTTCTTTGCTTGATAAGAAAAAAAAATATCACATAGGAAGAAAAAGCTAGCAATTATGCCTATCTTGTCCAACCAAAATCTATTGAGATGTGAAGCAATGAGAGGCAAGAATGGTAACAAATTATAATCATCATAATAATATGGGCACCATCTTGGGGAAAGCTGAATTATATTCTGTTAATTTTGTCTTTCAATGCCATCTGGCCTAAGAATTGGGCCAAAGGCACACCTCTGAATATTTGGAGCAGAATGCTTGCTGGCAGCAGATCTTTTATCAGTGAGAGAAAATGGCACAAAAGTTCTAACTTTTGGTAGCCATGATATACACAAACTGCTTTTTTTGCTTTAGAATCAATATTTTTTTTTTATTTTTATGAACCTGTAGCTCTTTAATGCAGAGTTGGGGTGACTGGGTAGAGAAAAAATATCTGTTGCGAATCCCACTTAGCAGTCAGGATGGGATATTTTTTCGTTGGGCCCTAAGAGAGAAACATCTGCTGCTACCTATGATTGAACTCTGAATCTTCTGAATGGGAGGCGAGAGTCTTCAACATTAGGCCACCATGTTGTTTTGTTGGAGAATCAGTATATCTCATGACAAATAGAAGCTGCTACCAAACTTCATCTGGAGTACAATTCCTGCAGTTTTCAGATGGTAAGCATAGAGAATTGGGATAAATGTTGAACAAAAGGGGCGAGAGGACCGACATCACCTATCTCCTGTTTACAACACAGTCATTTCAGCAGTTCCAAGAAGGTTCCTGAACTATTCAGGTGACCCTGAGGGCACAGATAAACCTGCAAGTGCCCTCACTGACTCTCAGAAAGAATTCCAACAACTAAATGACTGCAAGGAATATAAATCTTTCCATTATCCACCATTCAATCAGAATTGAAGAAGCTTCTTAGATGAGAAGCGAAACGGCTTCGAAGAAAAACAGTCCACCTGCCTTTTGAAAACCACTTTTGGGACAACCCTGACCTCCCAGTCCTCTGTAACAGCTCAAAGGTATAAAGATGACACATGATCACCAGGGGTTGTGGTATATAGAATGGAGAAGACTATGGGAAAACAAGGAGACCGAATAACAGTCTTATCCCCATATTCAATAGTCATTCAGCTACTTACCAGCAGTAGGATCCCCATCAGTTAACATGATAACTAAAGAGGCACTTCTTTCAGGTACAGATTTTGTTTCATGAGCTTTATTCAGCATGTCAATGCCAGTCAGTAAACCACCATTAAGATCTGTTACTACAATATAAAAGCAGGAGTTCATTTTTTTTTCAGCATACTAAAACCGGGATTCAAATCTTTTCAATGTAATGTTTTATTTCATCTTATTTCTTAATGTAGCCATTTTATTTTATTCTAATATATCAGTTTAATTTTACTCAAAACTTTTTTTTTCTTTTACTTACATCCTGAATCTTGTATGTGGCTAATAAATTCTTTTGATTGATTCACATTCTCTGGAGTAGCTTGAATTAAGTCATTTTTCCATGTTGAAACTGAACTTCCAAACAGGATGATATTGAAGTGATCTTCTTCTTTTAAGTCTTCCACTATTTTTGTCAAGGCTTCCCTTGCCTGGAATTATTTTAAAAAAATATCTAATAAAATGGAACAAACGCTTTTGTATTTGAGGGATCTCTCAACTCTCAATAAAGGACTTCTGCTCCATAAGGCAATCTGGCTATTCCAGAGGTTATTTCACCCTGCTTTCCTTTCAAGTAAGTAGGCTCTCATTAAATTGCTATGATCTTTTCTCCCCAGTTATAATTCATACTTTAATGATTAGTTAGATCATGTACCGGTCAATCTCTACTTGCAGCAACCAGTATTTTGTTTGGTTGGAGTTTGATTCCTTAAATATTTGGATGATAAGGAAAAATGTTATATGATAGAAGCTACAAGGTTCTTATCCTGATGTTATGCCCATGTCCTGCTATTGTCACCCACATTATATGCTGCTGACAGATCTTTTGGTGATATTTGTTTGCTCAAGGTCTCCAATTGTTTAACCCAAGGCTACATCCTTTAAAGACAAATATTTATGAGGTGGGGCGGATCAATCTTCTTTTTGCAAAAGGTAGATCTACACACTAAGGCAATACTTCCTTGTCTTAACCATGTTTAAAAAATAAGTAATTTTATGCAGCAATCAGGCTCCACATTATCATCCTGAATCATCAATATTAAATTTAATATGTAATCACATATCATCAAGCTGGCCTGGCCTAAATCTTCTCCTTTTTTAAATTTAAATTTTAAATTTTAAACACAAATTTTAATCTGTTTAATTATGGGGTATTTTAAAATTCAGCCTAAATTATTTAATTTGTTTTAATCTATTTTAAATTTTGTATCTCTGTGTTTTATCCTCTGGCTGTTCACCGCCCTGAGTCTTTCGGGAGAAGGGCGGTATAGAAATTTAATAAAATAAAATAAAATAAAATAAAATAAACATAAACAAAAATTGTCTAGGTCTTTTCTGATTTATATGAGATTTTGCCTTTCTCCAATGAAATTGTAGGATTGGAGTTAATATGAAATCTTACTAAAGAGATATCTGTTTTTTTAAATAAATGATAATTTCGTAACATTTTAGTCTTTTAAAAAATTATTATTATTTTAGATTTTATCTATTTTCAATAATTTGCTGACTCCTTATATAGTTCATGAACAGATTTGTTCATGGCTCACATGCAAACTGATCATTTCAAAGTTAAAATTCTTCCTCAAAGAAGATCCTTCCATATTCAGCTTCACCTTTTTCAGTCCTCACCCTAGTTGGCAATGTAATGGTCAAACTTGCCAATGTCCCACATCTCATTCCAATGCTCAAGTGTATTATTTACTCAGGATCCACCTGAAAAGATATTCTATATGACTTAGGAGCTAAGTAAATATATGACCAACATATCCAAAAGAAAATTTAGCTGAAAGTTTTAGGATGAAGTGGTAGGTTTCAATTACATTATTAAATACTTTCAAAATTACAATAATACATATTTTACTATATGAGTAAATCTTGCAAGGCAGAAATAATTTGGAGTAAAAGATTGTAGGACCTGATTTCATCTGCTGTACAACTTATCATCCTTCTAGTGATATTACAAGAATTTGTGTTGTTCACTTACTTGCTGAATTTTCTGTCCAAACATGGAACCACTGACATCTATTATAAAGGCAACATTCTTAGGTAAACGTTCAAGGATTTTTGGTGCAAAAAAGTGTGCAAAGTATCCATTTACTACCTAAAAGACATTGATAAAGATGAATTTGTAGTAGGGAGTTTTTGTTTGGATTTGTTTTTGTGCTGCTATATTAGTTCAAGTATCAAACAACTAGAGTTACCTGTAAATTATTAGGAGAATCTCTGTTCACATCATACTTGATGACAAAATTACCTTGTAGCAGCGTAGTTGTACAATTGTCACAGGTTCGTTGTTGTTCAATAGTAGGACTGAATGATACATGGCCCTTAAGAAAGGAGAATTCTTCATCTTAGATTTCTTAGTATACAGTATTTTCTGCAGTTTATATTCAAAGATTACTTCCAAACATGCTTTATCAATCTAGAGGCCTATCTTGTCCTTATTGTACATGTAGATTTCTGAGGAAGCCTTGGGAGTTTTTTAAAGGAATATTTAGAATGGGGTCAACAACTCCTGATAACCATGAGTTGCTATCGAAATTCAGTTGTGGTATATTTTGAATTATGAAATGTTGGAAGATCCAAAATTACATGCATCAGTTGCAGGTGTAGGAAGAATAAATGCAAAAAACATTAGCAGTGGAACATGCATGTTTATCTCCTTTTCTTGTCTAAAAAAAACTTACTCTGGATATCTTACTCTGCATTGCATCTTACTAGCTACACTTATATGGTCAGGATTATTTCATTCATTCATTCATTCATTCATTCATTCATTCATTCATTCATTCATCATATTTGCATGAATATATTTATTACTTTTATTTCATCCTTCTTCATTAAGTTTATTTATTACTTTTTCCATAATGCTGGATGCTGGATACCAGTTCTACGCTGTTAGGCATTATTTATGTTCTGCAATAAAGAGTCTGTTAGGTTTTCTTTGATACTAACTTCCAGATTTCTTTCTAGAAAACCAAGTCAAATGGAGGAGGGCTTTGACTGTCTGATTGTTGCCCACCATTTGGAAGCCACTAACCCAGCGGTTCTCAACCTGGGGGTCGTGACCCCTTTGGGGGTCGAACGGCCATTTCCCAGGGGTCGCCAAAGCCCTCTCTCACCCCCCCCCCGCCTTCACTCACCCTCTGCCTCTGCTGGATCGCCCGGTCGCCGTTCGCTTACCCCGCCCACTCCCAATCTATTGCTGCTCCGGAGTCCCAGCTGATGGCTAGAGGGAAAAAAACTTTAAATTCTTGCCGCGGGGCTTCAAAGAGCTAGCTGCAGAGAGGTAAATTCCTGGAGCAAGTTTTTTTCCCCCTAGCTATACTGAAAAGAGAAAGCGAAAGCAGGGTCTTAGCTGCAACATGACAAAATGAGGCAGAGAGGTTTCTTTTTCTTTTTCCTCACCAAAAAAGGTAGGTACAAAACTGCAAACAATGGGAAATTTAGGGCAAGAGGAGGTTCAAGATTTTAAAACACAAAAGAAAAAAAAAGCTCTATTTAACTAGGGAATTGTAATAATTGAGATACTATTAATTGTATATTGTGTAGGACTTCCGGTTTCCTTGTCTTCGGCGACGGCGGCGCTCTTTGAAGCTCCGCCAGCCCCGCCGCCTGTAGAGCCGCTTCGCGATCGAGAAGCGGCTCGAAAACTTCAAAATCCTGAGGATTGTTGGAGGAGAGATAGCAGGGCACAGGTCGAGCCCCTGTAACCCCCCAGGGAATCGTTTCTGGGGAGGAAACAGGCGCGGCTCCCTTCCAACCTGCTGAGACTCCGGGCGGCGTGGGACGATTCTGCTTCTGCAGAACAAGCCGGCTGCAGGAAACTTAAAGCGAAAGAACTAGCTTTAATAAACAGCGAAACTACCTGAATCCTGAAATTTGGAAACGCAAGTATTAGCACTTTGTTGACTTTTCAATCTGAGAAAATGCAAATGAGTGAAAGTGCCTTGAAAAAACATGGCGCCTAGCTTCAGAGTTAACGAGCCAGCGAGTGTGGATTGGTGAAGTTACTTTGTTTTGCTACAAAGTTTCCAAGTTGCTACTAAGCTGCCTCGCTTGTTATAAGAGAAATAACTGGGAAATTTTTTCCCTTTTCAATATTGGACTTTGCTTTATTTTAACCCTTGTTTGATCAAATCTGGGGGACTTTTTTAGAAGTCTTTGTGCAGGAGGGAAAGGAAAAGGAACCTCCCTCTTTAGAAAAACTAGATCACGAGCCAGGATGGCTTCAAAGAAGCAGGAAGGGAAGGCATTAGGGGGGGGATCCCCCACACACAAACAGCAAACGCAACTTCCCCCTGCTCAACAGTTACAAACTCAGAAAAAAGAATTTGATGTGGCAGATTTAAAAGAATTTATTTCTAAAACTTTGGATGATAAATTTCAAGAATCACAACAGGAACTTCAAAAATCACATCAGGAATTTTTGCAGGAAATTAATGAAGTTAAAGACATGGTGAAACAGAATCAAATTATGGTGACCAAAAAAATATCAGAAGTGGCGTCTGGCCTGGCAGATTTTATTGGGAAAGTTGATTTTAAAGTTGAAGAATTTAAATCAGAAGTTAATGTTAGGATGAAAGACAATGATTATAAAATTGATGAAGTTGACAATAAAATGCAGAGAATTGAAGATGAGATTGTTATGATACAATTCCGGGCGATGGAATTTGCCATACGGCTTCGGGGAATTCGAGAGGAGGAAAGACAGGACTTGAAACAAGTTTGCTCTGAAGCCCTGGCTAAGATTTTACAAGTTAATCCTGATTTGGTATTTCATAAAATAGATAAAATTTACAGAGTGAACTCTTGGGTGGCCAGGCAAAGACAATTACCCAGAGATGTGGTCATATACTTTACTGAGAGAGAAATTAGAAATGATATCCTGCAAAAATCTTTTCACACTTCTATACAAGTGGGGGGCTCACGGCTTGTAATTTTTAAAGAGTTACCTCCTAAAATGCTGAAAGCTAGAAAAGAATTCGGTTTTCTTGTTAAGGAATTGAAAAATTTACAGATACCCTTCCGGTGGGATGCACCAGCTGGGGTAATTTTCAGATATAAGGGAGAAGGATATCGGTTGAATACCGTGGAGAAGGCGCAACACTTCTACAGTACTATTCTTATGGAAAGAACACCATCTCCACGTACATCTACAGTTCTGGAGATTAAGGAGAGTGAAGAGAGGCAATTGAAAGAACAGTCTAAGCAGGAATTAGAAAACGTGCAAGGTGCAGAAGGAGGTATTCTGAGTGAGCCATCGCTGGATTCTTCTCCAATTTTGGATTTGATTCAGTTGACTGAAGTTAAAGATCAACGTATAACTAGAGCTCAATCCAAGCTACTTAAACAGAAGCAACAACAACAACAGGAAAGACAAGACAAGAAGGCAGTTAAGAGCACTGCACAAGAGATTGGCGCTATGGGAGGAGCGAGATCGAAGCTCGCGGATGAACTTCAAGTATATTGCTCCGCGCTCCAGAAAGAGGCTAATGACCTTTAAGTGTTTATCTTGGAATGTCAATGGGTTGAATTCAGCACAGAAAAGGAAAAAATTATTTACATATTTGAAACAATTTAATAATGATATAATATGTTTACAAGAAACGCATATTACAACTCAAGATCAAAAATATTTGATAAACTCAAAACTAGGAGCACATTATATATCTTCAACTTCGCAGAAAAAGAATGGTGTGGTTATTTATGTAAATAAAAAATTAACAGCAAAAGTTATAGAAGTAGATCAAGATGGTAGATTTGTAGCAATTGAATTGTTTACAGCAAATGGTCAAATTCTTTTGATTGGAATTTATGCTCCCAACCAACAACAGGATTATTTTTACAAGATGTTACATACTAAAATATTGCAATGGGACTACAGATCTATTTTAATTATGGGAGATTGGAATGGAGTAATTGATTCTAAATTAGATAAAAAGAGCTTGGCAAAGTCTAGAATTAGATTACCACAGACCTTTTTTGATATGAAAGAAGATATGGAACTAAAAGATGTTTGGAGAATACATAACCCAAATGAACTGGATTACACTTTTTTTTCTGATAGACATAGATCTTTTTCTAGGATTGATTTTATCTTGTTGTCAAATGATCTACTTGTTAAGACAAAAAGAACAAAGATTTTTCCAAGAATTTTGACTGATCATAGTCCTGTATGGATAGAAATCGAGATGGATAAGGTTGAGAGACGTTCTTGGAGATTAAATGAGAACCTGTTTAGATATGAAAAAAATATAATAGAACTTAAAAAGCATTTGAAAGAATTTTTTGAAATAAATTTGAATAAAGGTACCCCAGTTGAAATTGTTTGGGATGCAAGTAAAGCTTATATGAGAGGGGTACTTATCTACATGAATTCTAAACATAGACTGTTCCGACAAAAGAAAAGATCTGAGTTGGAAATGGAAATAAAGAATAAAGAACAGTTACTTATTAAAAACCCAACAGATGAAAGAATACGAAGTGCTATAAAACTTTTGAAAGACCAATTCCAAATGCTTATGGCGGAACAAGTTGCAACAAGTTTACAATACGCGAAGCATAATACATTTTGCAATGCTAATAAACCGGGCAGATGGTTGGCTTACACATTGAGGAAAAAACAAAGTATACGGACTATTGATAGTATTGATATTGGAGGGAAAGAAATCTTTCAACAAAAACTAATTAAAGAAGCTTTTGTGGATTATTATACTAAACTATATGCCAAAGATGAGGTGCAGAATGGACTTATAGAAAAATATTTAAAGGATAAGAGAGTTACAAAAATTACTGATCAACAAAAGGAAAGAATGAATTATCCTATAACAGAGGAGGAGATAACAGCAGCAATTAAACAGCTAAAAACAGCCAAAGCTCCTGGCACGGATGGTTTGACTGCAGTGTATTACAAAACTTTACAAGCTGAAATGGTGGGACAACTTAGAGATTTATTTTGCAATATTCAACAAGGGGGTAAAATACCCCCATCCTGGACAACTGCTTATATATCTTTGATACCAAAAGAACAAGTTGGTCCTAAAAAACCAGAGAACTACAGACCAATATCTCTTTTGAACACAGACTATAAAATTTACGCGAAGGTATTAGCCAACAGGTTGATGCCAGTAATCCAAAAGGTGATTCATGAGGACCAAGCGGGATTTATTGAGGGTAGATACATGAAGGACAATGTAAGGCAAGTAATAGACTTATTGGAATATCTTGATAAGAATAAACAGATTTCTGCAGTGCTGGTCTTTTTGGATGCGGAGAAGGCCTTTGATAGAGTGGATTGGAATTTTCTACTAAAGACTTTAAAAAA